CGACCGCCGCCCTGTCCCCCACCCCACCCCACCCCACCCCACCCCACACCGACCCGCGGGCCTCACCCAGGGCAGCGGGGGAACCCTCCGTGGGCGGAAGGAGCAGTTCCGAGGCCTCCAGCTCAGCATCTCTTCCTCCTGGGCGGGACAATGGTGGGGCTGAGGCTGCGCCCCTCGCCTGTGCCCTGAAGTGCGGGGAAGTCGGGGATTCATGCCCGTGACCCGACTGTGTGGTGCAGGGGTCGTGCGTACTGTGCACGGAGCCACAGAGCTCCCCGAGGACGAGGACTGGAAAGGGGAATGAAATGCACCCCTTGCGGAGCGCTGCACCCCGACGTGAGCCGGGTCCGCCTGGGGGCGCCCTTTTGTGAGTGGCAGGAAGGTGCTTTCTGTGCTTAGGATGCAGCTGGTCAGAATTCACACCTGAGATCTGAGATGCGCCTGCGTGACGCTAGGATGCCAGGGCCCTCGGGATAGGGACCAGGATCCCGACCCTGACGGGACCAGCGTCCCCTGGGGACTGGGGGTCTGAGCATCACTCAGGTAGTGGTCCCTCAGCGCCTTGACCGCCTCCAGCGCCCTGGGGTCCAACCAGTGGTAGTGAGAGAGGGAGCAGCGCCTGGGTTCGGTCACACCGGGGTCCGCCACCATGTTCACTGTTACCAAGACCCACAGCCCCATACTTCACAGATCTAGAACAAATACTCCAAAAATTTATATGGAACCATAAATGACCCCGAATAGCTGCAGCAATCTTGAGAAAGAAGAACGAAGTAGGAAGAATCACAATATCGAATATCAAACTATACTACAAAGCCATTACAACCAAGCAGCCTAGTATTGGCACAAGAACAGGCATATAGACCAGTTGATCAGAACAGATATCCCAGAAATTGACCCACACCATTATGATCAGTAAATGTTTGTCAAAGGAGGCAAGAACATACAATGGAATCAAGACTGTCTTTTCAACAAATGGTGTTGGGAAAACTGGACAGACACATGCAAAAAGATGAAACTAGACCACCAACTTACACCATACACCAGAATAAACTCAAGATGGATAAAAGACTTAAATGTAAGGCATGAAACCATAAAAATCTTAGAGGAGAACATAGGCAGTAAAATCCCAGACATCTCACGTAGCAATATGTTTATGGATACATCTTTTAGGGCAGTGGTCGGCAAACTCATTAGTCAACAGAGACAAATATCAACAGTACAACGACTGAAATTTCTTTTGAGAGCCGAATTTTTTAAACTTAAACTATATAGGTAGGTACATTGTTATTAACTTAATTAGGGTACTCCTAAGGCTTAGGAAGAGCCACACTCAAGGGGCCAAAGAGCCACATGTGGCTCCCGAGCCGCAGTTTGCTGACCACGGTCTTAGGGCAAAGGAAACTAAGGAGAAAATAAACAAATGGGATTACATCAAAATAAAAAGCTTCTGCACAGCAAAAGAAACCATCATCAAAATGAAAGGGAGACCACTGTATGGGAGAATACATTTGCCAATGATACATCTGATAAGGGGTTAATATCCAAAATATATAAAGTACTCAATCAACTCAACAAAAGGAAGACAAACAATCCAATTAAAGAATGGGCAGAGGACCTGAATAGACATTTCTCCAAAGAGGACACACAAATGGCCAAGAGACATATGAAAAAATGCTCAAAGTCATTAATCATCAGAGAAATGCAAATTAAAACCAAAATGATATATCACCTCACACCTGTCAGAATGGGCTATCATAAAAAAAGCAATGGCCCTAGCCGGTTGGGCTCAATGGATAGAGCATTGACCTGCAGACTGAAGGGCCCCAGGTTCGATTCCTGTCAAGGACACATGCCTGGGTTGCGGGTTTGATCCCCAATAGGGGGCATGCAGGAGGCAGCCAGTCAATGATTCTCTCTCTCATTGATGTGTCTATCTTTCTCTTCCTCTCCCTTCTTCTCTGAAATCAATAATAATAAAAAAGAAATCAATTTTTTATTCACTGCTGGTGGGAATGCAGATTGGTGCAGCCACTATGGAAAACAGTATGGAATTTCCTCAAAAAATTAAAAATGGAACTTCCATTTAACCCAGTGATCCCTCTTCTTGGAATATATCCTGAAAACCCCAATACACAAATCAGAAAGGATGTAGGATGTATGCCCTTCTATGTTCATAGCAGCATTACCCACAATAGCTAAGATCTGGAAACAGTCCAAGTGCCCATCAGTAGATGAATGGATAAATAGGCTGTGGGACATGTACACTATGGAATACTATGCAGCTGTAGAAAAGAGGGATCTCTTACCATTTGGGACAGCATGGATGGACCTGGAAAATATTATGCTAAATAAAATAAGCCAATCTGAGAAAGACAAATATCACATGATCTCACTTATTTGTGGAATCTAATGAATAAAATAAAGTGGCCAACAAAATAAGATCCAAAGCATGGAATAGATTGACATACCTTGATGTGGGGTTGAGGGGATGAGAAGAGATAAACCAAAGAACTTATATACTTATATGCATAGCTCATAGACACAGGAAATAGGGTAGTGAAGACCTGGGGTAGATAGGTAGGGGCTGGGAGGAGGGAGTTAAAAGGGGGGAAATGGGAGATATCTGTAATACTATCAACAATAAAAATATATTTAAAAATAAAAAAATAAAATTATCCCCCTAGCCGGTTTGACTCAGGGGATAGAGTGTCAGCCTGAGGACTGAAGGGCCTCCAGTTTGATTCTGGTCAAGGGCACATGCCTCAGCTGCAGGCTCGATCCCTAGTAAGGGGTGTGCAGGAGGCAGTCGATCAATGATTCTCTCTCACCATTGATGTTTCTATCTTTCTCTCCCTCTCCCTTCCTCTCTGAAATCAATTAAAAAATATATTTAAAAATATAAAATAAAAAGCTCTAACATGTGAACTGTCAAATAAGAGAGGAAACTTTATCCCTGTCTCTAAACTGGATAAAAGAGACACCATTGTTGCCAGCCAAACAAAAATTTCTCATGCCTTCTTTTCGGCAAAGCCCCTCCCCCACATCATTCCTGGTGAATCTTGAGTAACTGTGGGAACCACACCACAGTTGCCGAATAGCCACGGCTAATTAGGGTGTGGAGGCCTTGTTGATAGTACGCCGGATTGCCAAGGCCACTCTGAACATGGGAATCTTAATCAGAATGTCCGAGGACTATGTGAAGGTGCGAAGCAGGGTCACTACTTGGAAAGAAGCCTCTTTGGTCTAAATCAGTGGTTCTCAACCTTCTGGCCCTTTAAATACAGTTCCTCATGTTGTGACCCAACCATAAAATTATTTTCGTTGCTACTTCATAACTGTAATGTTGCTACTGTTATGAATCATAATGTAAATATCTGATATGAAGGATGGTCTTAGGTGACCCCTGTGAAAGGGTCGTTTGACTGCCAGAGGGGTCGCGACCCACAGGTTGAGAACCTCTGGTCTAAATAGTATAATGCATGTTAGCCAGCCAGTGCTGGGGGAAGAGGCAGGCGCAGAGGATGCAGCTGCTATATGTGCAGGAAAGGCTGGAGAGGTGGAAGAAGCTGCTAAGGCAGAGAGCTCAGGTGCCGCTACTATGTGAGGCCATGAGTCTAGGGGCAGCATGTGGCTGCTCAGATAATAGGTGTGGGCACAGAGGCTAATGCTACTTTTGTGGGAAAGATGTATTTGCTCACCAGCCGGTGTGCAGCTGCCTGTATGGGACTTTGCTTTGAAGAACTGTTTTGTTTGATGACTATATGGCCAATGGCTTCTACAATAAAGACTCATTCTTATACACCCACACTGCTCATGGCTTCTCCATCTAAACCCAGCCCCAAGAAGGTCCAAGCCCCCGGCAGAGGGGCTCAGACCCAACAGTTAGTGCAATGGATAGGGTTTGAGAGGGAACCCGTCCTGACAGGTGGCATAATCGAGCAGAATTCAGAAGAATATACGGACTCAGAGCAGCTGTGCTCTGGCTGCTCCGACAGTGACCTAAACCAAGCATGGGACTCCCATCCCTCCTGCTAGAGATGAGTGTGGGTGTGACTATGTGACTGTATCAGCCAGGATCCCTGCAGGAGACCAATGCCACCATCAAATGGAGAAAGGGATTTGTTTAAGCAACAGTGTACAGTGGTGGGGCATGGCTAAGGGACACCAGCAAAGGTAAGCAGCAGGCCCAGCTAAGAGCCAGAAGCTACTACCATTCCTAAACCGGAAGGAACACAAGAGGGAGTGGCTATTAGTCCCCAGGCAGAGATTCTGGGACACCACTACTGCCAGCCTACAGTCCAGCAGGGAAATAGATAGAAGGGGTTCTATGGAAAGCAACTTCTCAGGGTGATCTGATTATAAATTCCTAAGTGGGTAGTCATGCCCCAGGCTGATAGCTACTTTAGTGAGAGGCTTTAAAATCAGCTCTGTCCATTGTTCTTGTGCATTCAGGTTAACACACCTTTGAGAAGTCAGAAGTGATACCCCTCAAAAGCATAGACACCTTTAGAAAGCACAGAATCTTGTTACGAGCCTGTAATCCAATCCCTGCTTGCTTCTTCCCACTTTCAGGTAATCTTCCTTGAATTTACTTCTTAGTTACAAATGCATAAGAGAAACTGCAAAACTGCCGTTCTTCCGAGCATTTGAGATCTTGCTCCCCGGCATATGTGGCCTGTTTGGCTCAAATAAACTCATTAAAATCCTCTACAGGTTCGATGTTTCTTACATGAACATTTACCTGGTGCAGTCAACAGGGTTTTGAAGAAGCCCACCCTGTGGACCCGGACCTGGAGTTAGAGATAAGCAAGGGCCCATGGTGCCCCACTGGCTCCCTGCTTCGCGTTGGGTGAACTTGGGGGAGTCTCTCTCGGAACTGTGGGCCTCCTGGCTGTAAGTCAGGGGTCCTCAAACTTTTTAAACAGGGGGCCAGTTCACTGTCCCTCAGACCGTTGGAGGACTGGACTACAGTTTAAAAAAAAACTATGAACAAATTCCTATGCACACTGCACATATCTTATTTTGAAGTAAAAAAAACCAAAACGGGAACAAATACAATATTTGTATTTGCATGTGGCCCGCGGGCTGTAGTATAGGGACCCCTGCTGTAAGTATTTCATCTATTTATTCAATAAACATCTACTGAGTACCTACTCAGTAGATGTTTATTGAATAAATAGATGAAATAGTTTCAGAGGACGTTTCTTGATGATGACTGGGGTCCCTTGTTTACCCTGGATGTTGTTGGGCTTTCATCCCTAGAACTTCTGACTCAGTAGGCTTGGGTGGGGCCCAGCACCTGCATTTCTAAGGAGTCCCCAGGGGATGCTGATGCTGCTGGTTCAGGGACCACACTTGGAGGACCACTGTTTCCAAGCCACACAGTTATGGCTGCCTCGGAGGATCATGTTAATCCCATTGAAATAACCCCATGCAGTGACATCCTTGCAGAAGTGTGAGTACTGAGTTCTGATGAGCCAGCATGAACTTAAGCACTGACCTGAATATCTATCTATATAAAAGCCTAAGCGACCATCACAACCGAACGGACAACCAAACAGGCTACGTGGGGCGACCAGGCCAGCAGGGGGGTTAGTGAGGGGTGACCAAATGACTGAGCAGCAGGCTGCAAAGATGGAGGTGCCCACAGCCACAAGATGGCCGGCAGAGGAGGGCAGTTGTGGGTAACCAGGCCTGCAGGGGAGGGCAGTTGGGGCGATCGGGTCGGCAGTTATGAGTGACCAGGCCTGCAGGGGTGGGCAGTTGGGGGCGATCGGGC